AATGGTCTGTGCAGTTGGCTGATGAGGCTATTTGGGAACTCCAAACTCATCACCTCCACCATTTGGTGCACAACACCGTTCTGTGCTTTGACCTACGGTTGGCAAAGTCCTCACGGTTTGCGATTATTTTGGTTCCTTCTGAGGCTGAGGTGTGGAAGATGGTGGCAGCCTCACAATGAAAGGCCTGTGGGTTGGTCGAAGACTTGGGTCTGCATGGTTGACTGGACGAACACATATATATGGCGACTGAAGCTGAGGTTCTTTTCCTGTTAAACAGAGTTGTCATGATACAGTGACTGGTTTATGTTCTGATCGCATTAACTAGCATTACGAGACAGATAATGCTGTGGTGAAGGAAGTCAAGTGGTGGACCACGAGGCTGCGTCACTTGTTGATTATTGGCGTTGTCATCCATTCGTGGCTTTCTGCATCAAACTCGGGGACTGGGGTCATCTAAAGGTCCAGTTGGTTGAACCTATGCAGTATGCGTTTGGAACGAGGGTATTCAGGTTCCATACTCTACACCAAGTGCACCCACTGTGTGAGGTTACTTTGAGATACTTGATTACAATTTGATAAACTCGAACCGTCTGGTGATGTACGTGGAATGGGTCAGAGGTCGCGTTAAAGCTGACGGGAGTGCAATACACTTGCGGATCCCTGTACCCCAAATCAATTAACGAACCACGGCTCTCCAGCTGCAGTGGAAGATACCGGAAAGTGAGTGCGAACCTGTGTCTCTGCAGGTGCTTCAGTGTCGGTGCCTTTGTGCGCATTGTTAAGCAAGATTTACGCTGAACGGTGAGCAATATTTGGTGAGATTTGCGTTGGCGTCCAGTAGAGCAGCATAGGATGATCACGGCGGTTGCCAATGCAGTGAAGTCTATAATGCCTCGCTTATGTGACTACCTGACTTTTGGCGGTCACTTTAGTTTTTGTCTGGCACTCTTACTTGTAGGCTGGCCTTCGGGACATGCTGAGATCCAGTTGCTCTGTTTTCTTTGGAATACATGTACCCAGCTCCACTTAGTGTCTTCTTGCACCCGACGGGAGGTCTTGGGACGCTACAACGTCCGTACACACTTTAGCGTAGTAATACTTAGTCACCAGCATTCACTATGAACAGATGAGTCAACTGATCGACGCACAAGTCGCGAATCCATAGAGCAAGTGCTTTCGATATAGAGAGAAACCATGAGAATCGACAAATGCTACCAAGTAGCTTTGGTAATTGAGCGTGGTGGACAAACCATGATGCCGTCCTGTTGGTAGCGTGATCAGTGTGAATGAAAGGTATGTAGAAGTGGATAACCGAGACGCATTCGGGAATCACAGACCTGCGTAGCGCACCGTTGGTAACGATCTGGCATGACTCTAACGCTGTGATTTCAATCAACTTCACTACTTAGCTGGCTTAAGTTTATACTCATTAGCTTTTCTTATAGTGTAAACATGGTTACAATTGATGAGGTTTATGGTTGGTGTCAAAATGGCACACGTAAACACAAATATATTGCAGCAAAACGAGATCAATTGGCCTCTAACATCACATGTAATTTGCCACAAAACAACAATGCAGATTTTTGTTTCCTTCAACCACACAATCGACTTTGGTCTCAAGGTCGGTGGCAAATTGCCGCGTACGCGCACTACTCGAAATCGC